ACTATGCGACTGCTCATCCTCATCATCACACGCCATCTCGATCTACGCCGACGGAAGTGATACTCGTCCCAAGCCAGGTCCGGTGCCTGAGGTTCATTCCCCTCCGGCTATTGTATTCGAGGACCCACCTGACTGCTTGCAGCATACTGCCGACATGAGCGCCTGTTTGTATGCCCGGCAGAGTTCCACTCAGCTTCGTATGGGCTCAATTATGAAGTCATTAGATGGCAATCAACTGGTTGTGGTCTTCCAGATAGACTCATCTGTTCCGGGACAGTTGAATCTTGATATTCCCGAGGCAAACGGGACGTTCTCGTTCCGTGTTGATCTCCCAAGTGGAATGAAGCTCACCATAAACTTCACCATCCCGTACTTCAGCGCATCCGGCGGATATATACCTCCGCCCAGAACAAATATCAAGGAACTTACCTTCGGTACGATATTAGCTATCGAGGCGTATGTACCGAATTGGGGGTCGGTGAAAGCATACACGGAAAGAATTGGTAAAGCCCGTGCCTACATCCCAGGACCAAAACACCCTGGCTTCGTAAAGATGGCCCACCATGCAGAAAGACGTGAGAGGGGCCTTTTCGCGGAAGTGATATTCTATTTTGGCATGTACACCCTAGACGGAGTGAACTGGAAACGCTTTTATGCGTATGCTGATGTCAAAATCCGTGGTGAGAGGGATGGTACAGGTTTCGATCACCAGGGACGACTTCACCTCTTTAACAAATCATCCTAGCGGTAGCTGATTTATCGTTGAGCGTCCCATCGTTGGCTCCTAAAATGGGTATTTATCCTATGGAGTGGTTCTCAAGAAATAGTTTCACGAAGACTGATCTATATTGACCTCACCTGGTAGCATGCCTTTCATTGAGCGGCTCTCAAGAGCTCTTTTCGAGGAGCGCTTCCCGAGTGAGCATCGGACGATATTGGTTCATTTCTTTCATTTTTCATTTCGGTCACATGTTCGAGTAGCGTTCATGTGAAACATCTTTCCCTGCCAGCCATGGAAACTCTTCGCTACCAATAACCTGGCACTATCAATTTTCAACTATCGCATAACAACCAATAAATTTCCTTTTTGAGACGAGCTCCACCCCGAGTTGTGTTACTAATTCTGCGGATATCATGTAACAGTGGTGACAACTGAGCTTTCAACCCAGACCAAAACGGAAAACGTGGTGCAGCCAGAAGGCAATCAGAGCGTTGCCATGAATCGACGATTTTCGCCACGTTGATAGCACGAGGTGAGCTATTGAAGTATCGAAACAAACAGTCCTGCTTGTCATAAGCGTCAACTGACGTCGTGAGGATCACCAGACGAGACTGGCTGGTTCAGACCGTCTGAATCAGACGTAATCGGTCATGACTCGTGACTCACGAATGTGTCATATTTAACATGACCATTTGGGATTCAATATATTATATTCACCATTTGTACCAAACTTTCAGGGTTTCTACGTACAACTGAAACGAATTTCAGACCAAAACTCCCCGCCATTAGCGCCAAACACAAGTTATTCAGATTATCAGGTTTCGGTCTGCTTCCATGAAAATAGTTTCATATGAATCATTACCGTCACGGTATTACTACGAAAACTTGGACGACAGAGCTAAAAACTCTCCCAGCCGGTCACCTGATATCGCCTCACATATGTGCACTTGCTAGGTAGGTGAACTACGGAGGGTCATTTCATATAGAGCATGCATGGCGGTCCCAAAGAGTGCGAAAATTTTCTCCTCGAAAATTGAGTCCGTGGCATATTTAAACAATAAAGTCATGTTTGACGAATTTCTATACAAATTTTCAGGTTAGTAGTAGCGGGTGGCTACTACCAACAAGACTCAAGGCGAAATGGCGGATCCTCTTAGCCTCTTCGAAGCGTTCAGGTGTGACCCCGGGGACGCCCTTCAACTGCTTTATCAGACCACTATGGTTCTCCAGCCAACCCTCTACTATCTGAAAATACACACACACTACCGTACAGTAGCATCGTTCGAGAAAATGATTCCGGAAAACTGCATCACTTCAGAATTAGATCTTGCAACATTGAAGCCAACAGCTGCAGGCTTTGCTCAACTACACCTTTTCAATCTCAAATTCAACAATCGAAAGAGCAAATTCGACGAAAGAAATTTGATTTTCGACAAGCGAAAGGAGTTTTGCACAAGGACAAGTGCGTAGGATTCCTACGTCAAACGTTTTGAAGAATGCAGAAATAATGGATGATGCAGATATGTATTCCTACGGTGGGAATACATATCTGCATTATCCTGCTGACGAAATCGAGTCCATTTACTGTAGAGATTCCCGAGATCAAACGGGCGACATTGAGTTTGCTCAAGATAGTCCCATATTTTCGAAGTAGTGCGATCAGGAACTTCATGCTTCACCGACACCCAACAGCTAGATTCCACTAAATACTTTAACGTATGATACGTGTTAGTCTCGTAAGTCGGTGAATCTGGACTAACGAGATCATCTAGAACATAATCAACCTGTAATTTAAACTCAATCGACGAGTGATAGTCTGCCAATTTGGCAGACTATCAATTTGGCACGCTTGCACCCAGCGAAATAGTTACTATTTAATAGTATTCTCGCCAGGATCTCCTGGGGAAGTGATGAAGAAATTCAAGGATAGGCAGGGGATACCTTTCGTTATCGGTGCCCTCGATGGTTGCCACATACGTTTGGCAGTCAAGCCACCTAGCAACCAGAACCCAGACGTTTTTTACTGTCGTAGAGGGCTTCACTCTATAAACGCGCTCTTTGTAGTGAGTTCAGATCTCACCATATCGTACTGCTATCCGCAGTACGGTGGTGCTAGTCACGACTCGTATATACTGAAATGCTCGGGTTTGTGGCCGGCGCTGTGCATGGTGGACTCTTTGCTTCCACGTAATCCTCAGCAACCGGGAATCCCAGCAAGGTTGCTCGGGGACGCCGCCTATCCTTTTCTACCGAACCTCCTTACCCCTATACCTCGACCACGCCAGAATGGTGCAGCGGATGAAGGTTTAATCAACACCTACAATACCTGTCACTCTTCAACTCGCTTCTTCTGTGAGCAAAGTTTCGGCGTGTTGAAGAGCAGGTGGAGAAGCCTTCATACCGGTATCAGGCTCCAGCAAGTTCAAGCAACGAAGGTTATCGAAGCGGCGGTAGTTCTTCACAACTTGTGTATACGCAGAGGGTGGGAGTCGTTCAATGCCATCGACTACATTGACCCCGAAATCCGCAGGGCCATTCGGGACGAAAATGATATGAATGAGCCCTTGGGCGGTGATGGCTTGGTTGAGGGTGGGCTTCAAGGGGTCGAGCAGCTGCTTTTGTGGGAGGACCCCAATCTGGCAGCTGGAGTGGCCACTCCTGCCCAGTTCAAAACTCTTGCGAGGACAAGCAGGGAAAGACTGGCGTCTTTTTTGGCCCTCATGAGGAACGGTGATAACAACAATGACGTTGGTAATGACGATTGACGTGATGATGATGAATTGTTTGTCGTAAAAAAGTATCTTCTAGTTGCGTCGTGGTTAACAAAACAAGTTGCATACCGCCAAAAGTTAGCTTACACACGACAATAGAACCACATCATTCATCATTCACATTGCAAATACTGACACTACAATCAACGAACCACTTACTATTACAAGCAACATACGAGAGAAGGTAAAATAGTAATAGGCTGTTATTAGCAGCCTTAACTAGACTCAATCTAATGGTCTCAAAAAAACTTATGCTCCCAATACAGCTAATAGAAACTACACTAAGGATAACCCAGCAACGTCAGCACACAGTAATCAGGCCGCAAGTACATCTAAAACAGCATCTGCAAGGCTTGACGATACGGGAATCGGCTCCCCTAGTTTCTTCAACTTTGCTTCGTAAATAGCAATCTGTAATGCCAGCTTCCTTTTCCTCAGTCTAGAGAGCGTTAGCTCCTCGCGCAGCGTCAGCTCTTCGAGAGTTTCAAGCTCTCTTTTGGTGGAAGCCCTTGGCCTGTCCTTGCGAGTTTTGACGGTTGACGGCTTGGTCAAGCCCGGCCTAGATGACGAGGACGCACTCGCCGTAGGCCAGATATTCGAAGCTTTAGGAGAAACCACCGGAGATGAGGCCGAGGCGGGCGTCTCAGTTGTAGGCGTATCACCTTCCTCTACGTCTATAACTGCACTGGAATTCCCCACAACCGTAGTTTCATCCGATCCGCTCTCAGTAGGTTGAGCAGAACCACCAGGCGTTGTCGTGGATGGAAGATTCAGAGCACCGTACACCTCATCAGTGATACCATACAATTCTTGAGGGGTCACACCGAACAGATAGGGGTGCATAGAAGGGCTAACTCCAACACGACCCCTACCAGTCTCACGTGTTTGAGCTACAGCCATGTTGCGACTGTTTTTTGCCGCGGAACGGCAACTAGCAAACTTCTGTCGGACTTGAGAGTAATTCCGAACCCATCCCGAGGAACCAGAGTCCAGACTGGACTGTCCAGTGCATTAGCTCAGGTGTTAAAGTCGGCGGTCACACTCATCCAGGCTTGCTCATAATATTGCCATAATCTTATGAACAGTGTTGAATGCACATTTTAATCATCATTACTAATTATTTGCAACTAATAAGTACTGGTATTGAATTTACTTTGTGACTGGTTCAAGAAAAGAAAAGAAGTGCAACTTCTCCTGGAGAAGTAAAAGGGAGCTTTTCCTTGTGGAATCTACGAAGTAGACAGCAAAGTCATGCGCCACAAAATGCTCAGAACCACTCCAGGCCATTCTGAAACTCGCGGTTCTGGAACTGATTTCAGAAACGCGCGAGGACACTTTTGAACACGTTCAAAAATGATTCTGGAAATGATTTCAGGATCGTTTCCAGAATCGATTCTATGAACAAGATTTAAGAAAATTGTTTCTGGGAACGATTCTGAGCTTCAGAATTGGTTTATTGAACGGGCGGTAAAAGGTGTAGATGTCTTGAGAACCACCAATATCTGCGCAGTGCACTTTTCTCTCGAATCTTGGACTTCTTGCTCTTCTTGAAATACCTGAAGTTGTTCATAGTATCGGATGATGATGAATTGATTCGTATGTGTGATGCATTAGTGAGTATCATCTGAGCTCATCTGGTTGAGCATGCTAGTAGTAGTATTATCTTTATTATTGTGGTGTTAACAATATCATCATTCTTAGTGTTATCACTTTATTATCATGGATTTGCTTCGTGAGATGAGATCTGCTGCTGGTCCTAAGGAGACTATTGGCCTCTCTGATGATATTATTGAGAAGTAGTATGCTGCTGCTGCTAGACTGTGTCGTCATCATCGTCGTGGTGGAAGTACTGATGTCTTCAGATTCCTTGGTCGTGATCATAATTTAACCATTGCTATTATTAACGCATATGATGTATGGAAGACTTTGGATGGTGATACAACTTATCGTATACCAGAAGGACAACTTATTAAGAATATATGTCAACATTGGTGTCATTTCTATGCTGATGATACTCGTAATCCATATATACCTATTGGTGGTAAAGGTCCATGGATTATTACATTACATGCAAGTGTAATACATGATAATGGTGGTTATGGTATGCTATGTCTTGGACATAATCCAACTACTGTATTGAAAGCTATGAGTAATACTGCTGTTATGGCTAATATTATGACACCATCATTATTACAAATGGAAGTTATTAATGATATAAAAAGAGAGATTGGTCATACTAGATCTGATGGATGTCCTTATCATTCTATATTAATGATGAACTCTGGTTCAGAGGGTAACTCAGTAGCTGATAGAATAATGGATGTACTATTAATCTACTACTACTACAAAAGTGATAGTATTATAATATACAGATACATACTGGGCAAGTACGTAATGATAGATCATTATTGGGTCTATCATTAAAGGGTTCATTTCATGGACGTACCTTTAGACCAGCAGTATTCAGCAGTAGTTGTCATGATACGTAATAATAACAGCATTGTTAGTATAGTCATCATATTGGTGGCAGTAGTGTTATGCTCTTCCCCCTCTGTTGTTATTAGGTATCGTAAACATAGATGTGAGAGTATTATTACAGCTCAATCAGGGTATTCTATAACAGTAACTCCTAATGATTGTGATGAGTTAATCGAAGTATTCAAGCAAGCTGAAGAGGAAGGGAAGTTTATTGAATGTGTAAGAAGAGTATCATCATCATCAGCGTCGTCGTCGTTATGTGTAGCTACTCTCTAGGTTATGATAGAAGCGGTAATGGGTGAGGGTAATCCTGGTGAAAAGATAGATCCTAAGTTCTATGCTTTGGCTAGAGAGTTAACTCTTAAACATGATTCTATACTTATAATAGATTCGGTACAAGCTGGATTCCGCTGTATGGGTGTATTAAGTATAGTTGATTATCCTGGTTATCAGAATCTACCTCCACCTGATTTTGAAGTATGGTCTAAAGCTATTAATGCTGGACAATATCCAGTATCGATATTAGCTATGAATGAGAGAGCATCTACATATTATAGGCATGGCGTGTATGGTAATACTATGACTGGTAATCCTAGAGCATGTGCTGTTACTTCTGCTGTGTTAAAGGAGATATATAATAATCCTAATATTAGACACAATATTCTGGATATGGGTAAGTATGCTGTTGATCAATATAAAAGATTACAGGATAAGTTCCCACATGCTGTTACTAATGTAAGTGGTACTGGTCTATTGTATGCTGTACATTTACATAAAGATATACCAGTAGTTGCCTTTACTGGTGCTGAACACTGGTTAAGATGTCATGGTATTGGTGTTATACATGGTGGTGAGAATGCATTAAGATTTACTCCACATTTTAATGTTACTAAAGAAGAGATAGATATACAAATAGCCATGCTTGGTAGATATTTAGTAAGTATTGAAGGCCATATGCCTATATTGAAGACTATGCTACAAAGAGTTCATGGTGCTAATCATCATAATACTAAGTCCAAAGATACTACTACTCAACACTTAGCTATCACTCAACTTAATAAAGGTAACTATTATTATGAGATCGTATTTAATGATCTTTGTTAGGAACCCTTCATGGTGATGATGATGATACTGCTACAACTACTACTATACTACTACGTGGACACTTGTTCGATTCACAATTGGTTAACTCTGTATTAGATATTGTGGAAGAACATAAGAGTGTTGCTCATTTTAGTAGGATACGTTTAGGATCATCTGTAGATGAAACCTCAGAGGTTGGTATCAAAGTAACTACTTCTACTCATGTTGTTGGTGGTGGTTCTACTCAATGTTATTCACTTAATGATACTATTAATGAGATAACTAAGATGGCCGAAATGCGTAATTGTAGTGCTACTATTGTTGATACTATCACTACTAGTGAGGATGATAATAATGCTGATGATGAAAGTTAGCGGTAGTAGTATGATGATGATGATTATCATAATCATTGGATAACAATTTTTTATTGGATGATGAATACACATGATATAGTCCCTCCTCCTCCTATTTTTGCTTATGATCGTCGTCTGTCTTAGTTTAATGGTTGTTATTGTCGTGTTGATGATTATGATAGTGGAGGCATAGTGACGGGTGCTCACGGTGAGATTTATTGAACATCATTACCACACTAGGACATTAGGGTACCAGTACAGATGTAATATTATATTACGAATAATAATCGTTATCAGGGATTGTAATGTAATACCACCATCATCGTGTATATCGTCACAATGAGTCATAGAAACATTGGGTTATGATGACATCAACCCTATTAAGAGGAGGAAAAAGGTTGGTAATAATTGATTACTACTAATTCAGCTCGATGTGTCCTGCGGTATACTACTGTATTAGAGTTATGGTGGTGGTTGTGATTATGGAATTGTGATAGGACCATTCATTGTCGGTGTATTATAATGGACTAAGATAACCACACTGAGAGGAGGGATATTAGATTAAGACCATAGAGATGGTGGTGAAGGGATGGTAAGGATCACCTCCACCAGCACCTCTTGTATACCTCCCTTATAGGGGTGGTGGTTAACAGTCACCGTCTACTGCTACTACCTACTGCTGCTGCTGTTCCCTTGCAGGATCAAGTCGTCGTCCTTTTGGGCTCATGCTGATGATGATCATGTTTCTATGGTTGTGCTAGTATCACAATATGAGTACATCATGTTATTGGGTTGATCATAAATATAGTCATACTTTATGCCAGCTTGATACTAATGCAACAACAACAAGAAGAGGAGGAGGAATATGATGATGATAATAGCAGCATCCATCATCATTATATTATATGCCGAGTTAAGTTCTTTGATCATAAGAAGGGTTTTGGTATTATAGTACCTCTACTGGATAATAATAATACTACTAATACGATATGCAACAATACTTATGATACTTCTTGTTGTATTATTGAAGATGATATAAAGGTGTTTATGCATCAGCTTATGATGACCACAAATAAAAAGTGTGGGGAATCAGTCGTTAAATGTACCTTATCACAGCTCCATAGAGGTATGTTAGTTAAAGCTGTATTGAAGCCAACCACAGCAGATGATAATTATGCTATTAAATGTAATATGGTTAACTCAATGATAGTAGATGATAATGTAATACCCCATGCTAACCATCATCATCATAATAACTACCAGAAGCCTATTGTTGGACATCTCACACTATGTGGTATAACTATTATACACTCTGCATATGATGATGATGATGATATACCGTTATCATCATCATCACCATGGGTTGATACGCTCAAGAAGAATATTGCTGCTGCTGCTGTTGATGATGATGAGGAGGAGAGTGTTGTTGGTTCTTTGATTGATGATCTCATAAAAGGTGTGCCTTGGATAGTGAAATGTATTACTATGCTTAGTAATGAGGATACTCATCGTAATACTGATGATTATCAATGGTTTAATAGTGTATTCTACCCTAGGGTTATTGATAAGGCTATAACACAACTACTACAGACCCCTTATAATGATGATACTTCCCAGAGGAATAGTTGTGTAAAATGGATAAAACCATTATTACACAGTAAGGGGGTATACCTTACACCCAATAGACGTACTAGATTACACTATGCTCTATCACTCCTACAACCACTCGATGATGATGGTATCGGCAATCGGGATGGTTGTCTATGGCAAAGACGTAGTATTATTGATATAAAGAGAATAGTGAATGACAGAGATGATGGTATTATAGTAGTATTAGATGGTGTTAGGGATATACATAATATTGCTGGTATGTATAGGTTATGTGATGCACTTGGTATATATCAATTATATATATTATCATCAACAATTAATAATAAACTAAAGATGAAGAAACAAGCTGATGGTATTAGTAGACGTTCAATACGCTATCTTAAAGTTACAACATTTAATAATAATCAACAACAACATGTTATCAATGGTCTGCATTCAAGAGGTTACATCATCTTGGTCACCGATTTATCGTCATCGAAGAGTGTACCTTATCATACCATTAGTGAATCTAGAGTCGTCTCTGGTAGGTTAGCAATAGTCTTCGGTGAGGAATCATGTGGTATATCTAATATTATGAAGGATAATGCTGATATAAGGTGTTATATCCCATTATATGGTGTTGTTGAAAGCCTTAATATAACTACAGCTGCTGCTATATTATTAGAATATATTATGAATATTAGGAGGAAGAATAACATGATCATACCATTAAATGATGATGATAAGGCTTCCCTTACCAATGTGTTGAATTTTTATTGTAACCACCAGCGTAGTAATAATCAATAATATATTTAGATCGTTCCCTAGTAATTACTGTTTCTATTACAATAAGCATTGTGTGTTATTACTAAAATCCAACAACGATAACTAAGAGCAGCTTCATTCATCATCACATCATCATGATCATCTGGTATAACACTAGTCATGGTACATTTATTATGATAGCTGAGTACTGAGTTCCTTAGTAAGGTCAGCAATCCTCTTCAATGTTGATGTAACATCATCATTATCATCCCTACTGTCCTCCTCCTGAGCATACTCATCTGCTGTATTATTATGGGATATACGATGACGAATAAGCCTCTTCTTATGCATCATATTCAATCTAGCTTCTTCCCTCTCATCATTGATATGCCTACTCATCATTATAATAATGATGATTACGTTTTTAAGGTCTCACCTTGTATAGGAATCATGTGTTGATACTGCTGATGATGCTAATTTCCTAACTCCTATGCTGCTGTCTCCTATATCTATAATAGGGGCATCATGATGATGAGGAGGAGGAGGGGTATCATCATGATGAGGAGGAGGAGGGGTAGGGGTATCATCATGATGAGGAGGAGGAGGGGTAGGGGTATCATGATGATGATAAGGAGGAGGGGTAGGGGCATCATGATGATGATGATGAGGAGGGGTAGGGGTATCATGATGATGAGGAGGAGTAGGGGTAGGGGCATCATGATGATGATGATGAGGAGGGGTAGGGGCATCATGATGATGAGGAGGAGTAGGGGTAGGGGCATCATGATGATGGTGATGAGGAGGGGTAGGGGTATCATGATGATGATGATGAGGAGGGGTAGGGGCATCATGATGATGATGAGGAGGAGAGGTAGGGGCATCATGATGATGATGATGGTGATGAGGAGGGGTAGGGGCATCATGATGATGGTGATGAGGAGGGGTAGGGGTATCATGATGATGATGGTGATGAGGAGGGGTAGGGGTATCATGATGATGGTGATCTTTTTCCCTAGCATCGTTGTCGTCTCGTATTATTACCTGACATCATAGCCATCAATACACATGTTATCTTATCATAACTGATGTCACTACTATTACATCCATATTGGATGATACCTTATGATATTCATGATGCAATGTTGAAGATGATGATAGTAGAGATATCCCAGATAGATATCCTCTTATCTTCATATTCACTACATCACTTAATTGTGAAGGTAGGGCTGATGCTACTACTGCATCATCATCATTCAATACCTGTATCATCAATATGATTGTCGTATATATATCCCAATACCTTATTATTACTTTACATATCATACCAGCATAATGTATAATCTCTACCTGTATTGTATGTATATTATGAGCATCCTCTCTAGGATCCTCCCATGAGCTCATCATACCATCATGCACTACTACTGAATTGTTAATGTAATAATAACAATCATCATCATTATCCCTGATGATGATGATCATGATCATAGTCCTCCCTGTTATAGTAATTACCTACTGACCTTCTTTATTGGACCATGCCATAGGTCTAACTCCTCAACTAGATGCATCCTTAGTATATGTATAATATATTCTACATGTTGGATAGTAATTATAGTATTATTATGTTGTATTATATTAACTATATCCAATAATTGTCTATAATAAGGTGTTAATGGATGGTTCCAATATATATCATCCTGTTTATCCTTATTAATATAATAATAATCATTATAATCATTACTATAATATCTAACCCATCTACTAGGTAAAGGATGTTCCCATAACATCCTTATGATACTACTATTATCCCAACTACTATCCAATTTATATCTATAACAACAACAATAAATATAATAACCATATCATTACTACTACCACCTTAGATCATTCCTAACGAAGGAGGTATTCATCATCATCATATTAGAGGCAGCAGGAAGGGACATACACCTAAATACACATCCTAGTAGTAGTAGTAGTAGTAAAACAACAGCCGTTTGCTGCTGTTGGAAATGACTTCAATCTTGCATTCTTAGTTTACCTTACATTTCCTCTATTCATCATCCTGCTTCTGCTGCTGCTTCTGCTGTTGCTACTGTGGTCATCAGTATGATCTCACCATCATCCTCCTTATCCACCTCTAGTGCATTGGCCGCACGAAAAGCTGTAATAAAGAGTATCTACTAGGGTGGTGATGATGAGTTCCTTGCTATCATCATCATTCAGGAGTTGGCAGGAGTACGATGTAAATTACCAGTACATAAATATGAGGATACTATAGTAACATCAGTTGTTAATAATAATGTTACAATATTAGTTGGGGATACAGGGTCTGGTAAAACTACACAGGTACTAATGAAGATAGTAGTAGTATCCATTAATAATACTGTTAGGTACCACAATACCTATATAAGTATAGGAATAAGATAACTAATAAACAGTTCCGTGAGGTTATAACACAACCACGTAGAGTAGCAGCTACTACTGTAGCTAGTAGAGTAGCTGAGGAAATGGGTACTATATTAGGGGAAGGTGTGGTAGGATATGCAGTAAGATTTGATGATAATACTAATCATCGTACTAGGATCAAGTTCTGTACAGATGGTAATAATAATATTAAACGATTAATATAATCATGATTAATATAGGTATATTACTAAGGGAGGCAGTAGTAGATCCAACATTATCTAGATATACTGTTGTTATTATTGATGAGGTAATGATTATGATAGTAGTAGTAACAGAGTAGTATATATAGATACATGAGAGATCACTATACACTGATACAGTATTAGGTTTAGTATCTAATGCACTAGTAGATGTGAAGTTGAGGGATAATATTAAAGTAATGATGAAAGTGTAACATTACTATTATTAATACTCTTTATAGTAGGTGGTACTCATGTCTGCTACTGTAGTAGCTGATAAGTTTAAAGAATATTTCCTACATTCAGGATGTAGTGTGAATACAGTAGTAGTACCTGGTAGGACATATCCTGTTGCACTCTATTATACTCCTACACCGGTAATAATAACAATCATATATAATGGTTCTTATTGATAAGGTGTTGTTGTTGTTAGGAAGTAGACTTCTTAGAGGCTGCCCAACTCACTATTATACAGGTAGTAGTAGTAGTAGTAGTAGTAGTAGTAGTAGTAGTAGTAGTAGTAGTAGTAGTAGTAGTAGTAATGTGGTGGTGGTTGTTGTTATAGTGATACGGGAGTAGTCTTATATAGATATTACTTGGTATAGAGGATGATAATCTTATTCATGGAAGGAGTAGAAGAGATGGGGATATATTGGTATTCCTACCTGGTAAGGATATAATACTACTATTATTACAATAATAATACTACTACATTTAGGTGTTGATAATATATTATCATTACATGCATCATTAGAACGAGTGTTACCTACTTTAAAGGGACTATGTACTGACAATAATAATAACACAGAGCTTAAAATAAAGATATGCGATCTGTAATAATGATATTAGTAATGGTGCTGTTGTAATGGTGGTCGTTATGATTGTAGATACAGTAGTCAGAGTAGAGATAAACAGAAGGATGCTTTTATACCATCAGGAGTTAATGAAATTAAGATAATATTATCAACTAATATTGCTGAAACATCAGTAACTATATCTGGTGTTACTACTGTTATTGATACTGGATTGGCTAAGACAAGAGTATTCGATACTCTACGTATATCCCCTATATCAAAAGCATCAGCTTCACAAAGGAGTGGTAGGGCTGGTAGGGAAAGACCTGGTGTATGCTATAGACTGTAATAATAATACTACATACTATTAGGGTTATGGGAATACTAGGGTGTAGGTATCCCGAGATAGCATATGAAAAGGAGATGATACAACATAGTATACCTGAGATATTAAGGTAGTATTAAGGTTAGTCAATGTTAGTTATGATCATCATAATGGTGTCTTCATCATAGGAGTGATATGTCCTATGTATTACTACAATTACTAGCTATGGGTGTAGTAGGAGGAGAAGGAGTAGGAGTATGTCATAATCTTATTGATTTCCCATTTGTTGATAAACCTTCACCAAAGAGGATAAGAATGTAATACTACTAATACTACTATTATCATTATCTTCGTCGTGTATGTAGGGCATCACGTTTATTACGACGTATTGGTGCTATTGGATCGGATCTATCATCACCAATACTAACATCTAAAGGGAGAAGGATGGCTCAATATCCACTAGAACCACTTATTAGTAATATACTCGTTACAGAGGAGGAGATGAAGGGAAAGGACGAGGACAACAACAACTGTCTAGCTGAGGTAGTAGTAGTAATAGTATTGATGATAATGATGATGATGGTGGTGGTGGTAGATACTTACATTAGTGTCAATGCTATCTACTGATAATATATTCCTATCATCAGGGAATATTAGAGAATCTAAGAACTCTACTGCATGGTTTATGGGACTCGATACACGATCAAATGATCGGATCTCATCATCATCACCTAGTAGTAGTAAAGGAGATCATGTATGTCTAGTAGAATTATATAATACATGGAAGAGAGTTCCAACATCATCAGTTGTTATGTGGTGTAATAAGCGTAATATATCACATAATGCTATGCTCAAGGCAAGATCTATACGTACTCAAGTTAAGGATATATTATCATCATCTAGTAATACTATTAGTATTGATACATGTGGCCCTGATTGGTCAATATTAAGACATGCTATATGTCGTGGTCTATGGCCTAATACTTATCAACGTGTACCTGACCCTACTACTAATAATAGTAGTAGCACTTTAGCTGGGGTATGGTATACACCTATAGTGGGGGCTGGTGGTACTAATGATAAGGCACAAGTATCACCAATGTCTGTTACATTTACCTTACCAAGATCAGAAGCTCCTGAAGTTATAGTTACTAATGAGATAGTTACTACTACTAGGGCATATATGAGGTATGTTACTCCTATACAACTCGATTGGTTATCACAAGATCAACCACAATACTTCACAACAACAACAACGTGATGATATATCACTAGTACTTGCGTTAAAGTTGTTATATGAAGTCTCTATATCTGCAACCATGAGGATACACGGGTAGATTTAACCATGATAATATTGACATATAACAACAACATGAGGATAATATGAGTATACGTAGTAGGGATGTAGGGAGTATTACTACTCTTTACTATCATCGGATAAGGAAGAGGAGGAGGAATACTTTTCTTCATTATGATGATGGCTAGTAGTAGTAACAAATATCTCATCAAGATGGTCCTCCTCTAGATTAGCAGCAACCTTACGCATCTTAGACTTCTCATGTTCAACAACCTTTGCTTCATGTTCCACCTAACATCATTATCATTACTAGTAGTAGCATGATGATGATAGTATTATTATTACGGCTCTAGCCCGCTTCAACTGCCTTCTCATCTCAGTAGGGGATTCATATCGTATATTACGATATATAACATCACCACTAAAGCTACCTGATAATACTATCATTGGTTCTAATACCATTCTAGGGCCGATCTCAGTGAGAGTCTGTTTATTAGGGTTATTCATACACTCAGTAGCGGCGGCGGCCTCAGGGCTGATCTGATAGTGTCTGAGGAAGAGGAGGAGGTCGTGGGTTCGAATCCCCCTCCCTATTACTACCTAATCCATATCTTATTATCCAACCAATAGAATGCCATAACATGATCATAGAAAGGCTTAGATTTAGGATGATTCCTCGGTATCTGATAATAATGTGATACTTACACTATCAATACCATTATTACCCCAAACATCCTTATGAACATCTGTTTATATAACATTAATTGTGGAGTAGTAGTATTATTATCAAAAGCAGCATCAAAGTGTAGTAGAGGTCTTGAACCATGTAGACAGTTACCAGTAAGCTTCATTTCACCAAGGGTATGGACTAATAATACCAATACTACTAGTACTAGATCTTATTATTATTACCATTATGTATTTGGAATTTAGCAGTAGGACCATTAGGCATACACCCCAACCACATATAACAATATTGTGATTTACGACATTCCATATATCTAATTCCTTATTATATTAATATTATACTTATTATTATTACATGCAATTATTGCAACTCTTAAGTTGACATATCTCCTTTAAATCCTGTAACCTTTGTTTCTTTTCTACTTTAGGTTCTGATTTACTATGGACACATATCCTTTTAATATCTTCCAATAAATGACGATATCTAATAATAGCAGTTAACCATATATAGTAATACCATCACGACCATCATCATATTACCGTGATGTTATGCCTCTACTACCAAATACCAATACGCGTTGTCTATTACGCCATCTATGTTCCGTTTTAATGTACCTTAATAACGACAATATTAATACTCAAGTAGTAGTAGAATAATAATACTACTCAGCCTCCTCTAGATAATAAGGATCCTTATTCACTTCCTCCTCATGATGATGATGCTCATCATCATCAGCAACATGGATATCGGTAATACTATCCGTCATTACAACAACAACAACGCAAGCTGCAACATTCTTCTGATGACGTAACTATTCGCGCACGCCATCCTAATCGATTATGCATAATCCACGGCGTGGTGGACATTGCCTCTAGAGGTAGGAATGGTGAACAAAGTTATTATTATGACCTTGTTGTTGTTGTTGTTGTTTTTGTTATGTATGTTTCCTTTATATATGTCGTTATCTTTGTTAATAATACCTTATGTGTAGTGATAATAATAATGCCTGCTGCTACTACTACTTCATCTAAGAGGAAGGTAGTGGAATCTACTCCTATTAGTATTCATGATATACCTGATAGACCTACACGTCCTCTAACACTAACCCCCAGGTAATAGTAATACTACTACTGATTATCATCATCAATGGTATGATTAGGTCAGTATATGCATGCTCATCAGAAGGTGTTCATATGATGGATCTACTATATCGTCCAATACAGGCATTTGCTGATGATAACGGCACCAGCGGTCAATTGTCTCCAAGACTTGTTAAATTACGGTACATGTGCATCATCATAATACTATTACTCAATAGTCGTCATCACCAGATACGACTTTTATGAGGCTAAGAGGAAGGATCTACTTAATGCTGTAAAGCTGGCTAGAGATAAGATAGTAAATTCTACACCCTCTGAGGGGGTAATAGGAGGAGGAGGAGGTAGTGGTGTGGGGTGTAGTACTAGTAGTACTCTTCATCATCATAGGGGGTATGATGATACCTGCTCATGATGATAAGGGGCTGCTGCTGTTGCTATTGTTAGATGCTAGTAGCAGCAGCAGAGTAGATGATTATTGTACAGTACAATTAGAACAACATAAGCTTAATAGGATACAACAACATGAGAGGAGATGGTTACAATCAACATTAGGGTATGAGCTAGATATGGTTAAGAAAATGGAAGATGGTGTGGTATATATGGAGACACAGAATGATAATGCTGCTGATAAGATGGCTAAGGATGCATTAAGGATGAAGATGTTAAATGATGAGAGGAGGGAGAGGGAAGAAGCTAAGCAAGCTGAGATAGAGGCACAAGCTAGGCTTGATAGGGCTATGGCTAAGGAACAATTCTTAAGGCAACAAGAACAACTTGCTATACAGAGATATAAGGAGGAACAACATAAACAGGTAGTAGTAGTAGTAGTAGTAGTAGTAGTAGTAGTAGTAGTAGTAGTAGTAGTAGTAGTAGTAGTAGTAGTAGTAGTAGTAGTAGTAGTAGTAGTAGTAGTAGTAGGGGTGCTTACGACGATGACGACCAGAACATGTAGTAGTAGTAGGAACTACATGAGAGGTCCTTGGCTGAGGCGGAGCGTAGGAGGAAACAAGAACATGATAAGATGATACAACAGGAATATGCATGGAGGTGAGGATGATATACGATGTGATGAAGGTGTGGTATGGGTAGGAATCAGGGGGTATTCATCATCAGGTTACAAGAAGAGAAATTAAATGAGATGAATAGGAAAGATAAAGAGAGATTACGAATACAGTCAGAACAGAAGGAGCAGCAACAAGAGTATATGAGGAATATTATGAAGAGGAAGAATGATAGGTACTAGTATTGGTAGTAGGACTATGTGGATACATATTAGGATCATGACTTCTATGAAGAATAATCAAGAGTTAGAACTTAAAAGGAAAGAGGAGTAGGTGTAGTAATAATAGTAGAGGGGCTCATCATTATTGCTGGGAGTATAGATATCTATATCGGCTACAACAAGAAGAGGAGAGGGAGGGTAGGTTAGAGGATAAGAGGAGGCAACATCAGGAGGAAGGGGTAAGGGGATAGGGGTAGGGGTGGTATGATGTCTATTATCATTATGCAGAGTAAGAGGGCATTGGCATTAGCATTAAAGAGGAAACATATAGTAAAGGAGGCAATAAGGCAACAAGATGAGAGGAGGAAGGCTATATTAGATCATCAACAAGAAACACAACATAGATTACAAGAACATGAATTGAAGAGGGAACGGTAAGGATGGTATGCAGTAGCAGGAGGAGATAGTGCTAGTAATAGTAGGTATCTAGCATTTAAGAGGGAATTAGATGAGTTGAAGAATAAGAATAAGAAGATGAATGTGATAAGGCAGAGGAGGAAGGAAGAGCATCAGAGGAATATATATGCTATGCAGAGTAGGATGAAGAGGGAGAAGAGTGGTAGGATTATTGAAGAGAGGAATAAATTATGGGAGGAAAGGAGACAAACTGGAGTAGAGGCTTATAGGGCTAGGGAACTTATTAAGTCTACTATCATGGATATGAAGGTAATAATAATAGGAGTCCACCACCACCACCATTACCACAACATGGTGAACTTAAGGTTAAATCTAAGATAAGCTCCAATAGATTAGAACAAGTTATTAAGGATATCCTTAGAAGTAAGAGGTTATCACCAAATGTAATACTACTATATCACCATCACCTATGATGATGATGCATATTAGTAGGTACCAACCTCATCATCATCATCATTACCAGCTATATTGGACTACAACAACAAGAAGAAGTAGTAGTAGTAGCAACAGCAGCAGCAGCACTCATCATTATTATCATCATCGTTATCATGATTATCATGTAATGGTCATCATGTTGTATTCATCCGTTCATCAGTGTTGTTATTCCCACTCTACTACTACTGTATTATACTAATTCTTGTTGTTATCCATCATGTCATCATCAAGAGGGCCTACTACTACTATTGAACTATATAGGCATGTAGGAGTTAGGAAGAGGATATAGAGAGGAGGAGGTCTACTACCTCAACAACCCTTCTTATAGTAATAGGGGATGAGCAGCAGCAGCAGCAGCAGTTGATGAACATGTAAATGCAGACGACGATGATGAACTACTACTACTACTATACTAGAGGAAGGCCAGTACTAGTGTGGCCGCCGCCACCTCTTGATGATAATCTTCATTATTATTGTGTATGTAATAATAATACCGATTGGCATCATGATGATGATAGAATATTGGATGGTGATGTATTGGATAATAATACCAAGGATGATGATGAAGGATCCCAACAATATGTATTCAATACTATTACTACTTACATGCTGTTGATGTTCATCTATCATTCATCATCACTCTTTAGTTGTTAATAGTAGTATACCCAGGGGAATACCTACAATATAGTTCTTACCATATTTCCTCCTACTAGCTTGATGATGATGATGTGGTTATTAGTTGTGGCGTATTCTCATCAGAGTGTTGTTGTTGTTGAAGTGATGGATGAATTCGACCTTATATAGTATATATTCTATCATCATCATTAACGCCGGCATCTCCTTCGTCATCATCATCATAGCCTCAGTAGTTGGATGATGTCTTATTATGACTTGTACTATAAATATAATATCTTCCCTACTCTCCATTATTATGATGTATAGTGTTATAGAAGTAGGCTTCAATACTACTACTATTTAGTGTATAGGATTATGCCCTTACTACATCCAATACAAGTAACAACAACAACATCATCTACAACTAATAGTAGCAAGAATGTTGTTGTTGATGATGATGTCCCACTAACAGCACCATGCACACCATTAGGGTAGAACATCATCATCATTAACATTATATACTCCTATTTAGTGATCCTATGATCATCATCCCTCACGATGACCAGGTTGATGATGATAATAGTAGTAGTATTATATCAATATCAATAATCAAGGAATGTGGAGCTAGACTAGGTGTATATCTACATAGTCGTAGATGTACATCACCCCACACAAATCCATGTATTATTGCTATGCTCGACCACGACAACTCTAATGGGTGGCCTACTACCACCACTTCATCATCATCCTTACAGTACGGTAAGAGTATGAGTATCATCATTAGTATGTGTTCTTCATCAGAGTGGGCGATGAGATCATTCGGGTAAATGGTGAAGTTGTAAGTAATAATACAGTTAGAAGTGTTTTAAGAAGTATAAGACCTTTAAGCAAGGTAATAATAATGCTACTGCTACTGCTGCTCATCATCATGATGAATAGTGGTAGTATTAGGTTACTATAGAAGTACTCAGGAGAAGGTATACCCACTCCACACCTATCATCTATACTACTACTGATCATCATCATCACTCTTGTTGTTGTCCCATATCACGAGATGATAACATAAGAAAGTAGCCTACTACTACTAATGTAGTATATTATTATGATTGTTATTATTCAGTATACGTTCCCCCCGGCCTAGATGTGTATCATTATTATCATCATCATGTAGTAGTGATAATAGAAGGAGTATTACTATGCCATGCTATAGTAGTACTAGGGAATATGGTAACTATATCACAATGATTATTATTATTATATTCTTTAGATATTACCAATAATGAAAATAAGATATCATACCGTATTAAATCGGCACTATTACATGGATCATCATCATTTCTGTCATTATTTATGAAGAGGAAGAAGAAAAGGATGACACAGCAGAACTCTAATCCTAATACTACTACTACTCATCGCTCAGACTATAGCTCATGTTTAAGGATGAGGTCATCATCATCGTTAGTTGGGGGTAATAGTTGTGATATTAGTAGTGGTAGACTATTACTACAACGACGGGACGCTATTACTAATAATAACAGTATTGGTGCTAATAGTAGTAGTGTGATAGCAACAACAACAAGAGCATATGAGGATGATATATGGAAGGAGTTAGTTGCTCAACATCATGATCAGACTGTTAGAACTGTTGATTTAAAACAGATGATGTCCAAGAATGGTGATAAGTGTTGGTTTAAGCGTGGTAACTCAACAACAACAACAACATCATCATAACAAAGAACAGTATGGTAATCATCATTATCAGTTGATTATTGTATTATTAATATCATTAGTATTGGAACTAACAACGAAGCCATATTGCATGTTAGTATTAAACCTGTTGTGTTAATATATTATCCATCACCCACAACACTAGGACTATGAATAGCTATAAATCCCGCCGAAATGGGGATACCACTATACTCAACATCGTATTATGAGGGCTACTTAGGGTACTTAGTAGAATATATTACCACCACAAGGTAAGGTGAATAGACAATAGTCACTATACAGTACTCTATCATAGTAATAGTAACCATGCATGAACCTTCACTAAGCTTTCATCATGTTGTTGTTGTCTAATACTACTAGTATAGAAGCTATCTTACAACCACCATCACTATTAAGTAGCTATATTCCTACACTCTAGAGGCGGGGGCGGGGGCCTTGTTGAGCCTATTATCGTGTATGATGGTTAAATCGTCCACCATGTGTAGCATATGATAGTTCTGACTCTGAGGATATTCTTATTAGATATCGTTACTATCCTAATATGTATACAGGTCCTAGACGGGATCCTTTAGTAGTAAATGAGCCGTCCTACCAATCCTTGGGCTACGACTACGAGAAAAGAAGAAGAAGAAATAGGAGATTCATAGATATAATCGTTCCTCTCGAATAATGGGTTAAAACGTCACACTCGAATCCATCAATCCCCATGATAATCAACGCATGTTTACTAAACATTGTTCAGACATACTAAAGAGATCTTTATTACCATGTCACTACCCTCTCCTACTACTACTAATGATGATGGTGGTGGTGTTATTGTACTACCTACCATTGAGTCCTCTCAGGAACTTGGTACCCCTTCAAAGGTTGTTGTTATTACCAAGCCACCTATCTTACCCATACTAGGTAGAGTATTCATACTATTTATGGTATTGACAATATGCCTGTGTATTGCTGCTACATGGTGGTCATTAGGGTATACATGGATAGTAGAGCCTACTCTTGGTATTATACCCATATATGAATGCCCTCAGCTAGGACAAACCTTTATTAGCAGTAGTAGTAATGCTGCTGGTAGTAGTGGTAGAGAAGGAGGAGGTGGACAGTCTCCTGATGGACCTAGATGCCAGGTATGATACACTATAATGATGATGATGAGATTAGATTGTATAGGTATCAGTACCATTGAAGGAATCATTCATGAAGTTGGTTAATGACACTGGCTTTGCCGTACCAGAGGGCCTTCCTATCGAGGATAGGTAGGAAGTAAGAGGGGAGTTACTGCTTATATCCGGCTGGGGTCTCTTAGGCGTGGTAAATGTGTAATACCATCACAAGGTAAGAGGGAGGATGCTGAGATTATATGCTATTCATATGATACATGTGCTGATGCATGCCGACAGAGAGGGACTAATAATAGATGCCCTGATCCTAATACTCTAGATGAGGAAGTACCATTCAATCAGACTCCTATGGAGTGTTCAGTCTACATGCGGGATGAAGATAATACCAAAGCAGTAGTTATCATAGCCAATTGTGTCGAAGTAAAGGATGGTTCATATTGTAAGTATGATGACAACGACAGTTTGCTGCTGCCGCAGCCTCTTATACCCTTTTAGGTAATAATGTATATACATTGACTCCAGCAAATGTTGTAACGATTAGAGGCTTAATCTGTGGTGTAATCTTCATAACATTATTCTGGTTAGTAGCCGAGTTCATCCTGAGGTGATGATCATATTACTACTACTACTATCATCATCACTATTCACTACTACTACTACTACTACTACTACTACTACTATCATCATCATTCACAGTACATGGCGTGTATCACTGACATTATTTAGGTATGTTGATATTGGTCTACGTAGAGAGAAAGCTGAAGGTATGGCCAAGATGGCTATTGAGTTACCTTCCAAGCGGAAGTAACAACAACAACAACAACAACAACAACAACAACCATCGTCATCACTCATCATCATCATCATCATCATCATCATCATCACTCTAGTAGTAGTAGTAGGAGTATCCCTGCTAGATACCTACGAGCTCAACTAGAGAGACGTTGGGAAGAAGAAGAGGCGATCCTTAGGGCTCAGGAGTTGGAGGATCGACAGGAGTTGAGGTCGGCAGGATTCTATACCATACCAGACCATGCCGCACTACCTCATGATGCTAAGGCTCATCATCCAATGTAGGAATATCAAGATGACATCGGCTCATTTTTGATATAATGTGCTCCTTCCGAAAAACATATATCGCCCGATTAGTTCAGCTGGATAGAATGTCTGCCTACGGAGCAGATGGTCGTAGGTTCGAATCCTGCATCGGGTATTGTATTGTTTGCTGCGTCCTCTACAGGCCTCTCCCCACTGATGGTGGCTTTGCCGAGTCTGCATCATCATCATTGACATGTTCCATCACTCTGGCGAGTAATGATGCCCATCCCTTTCCTCGTCCGCCATCTGTATCCTCCCTACTTCATCATTGTAGATACGAACTATCAAACTCCAGTGAAGTCGTCCTCTAGTTCGATGGCTGCTATCATCAGTAACAACAACAACAACACAGCACCACACCCTACAGCAACAACATCTCCTGTGGCATCTACACCATTCACACTTAGTGCCATGTGGACCCCTGAAACCCAAGCACCTCTAGGGTAATCATCATCATCATCATAAACCATTGTATGCTGCATACTTCCTTCCTCAGCAACAACCCTAACGTTGGACCATTGTGGTCAAGTAGACAGTCATCAGTGCTGAGTAGTGCTGCTGCTGTTGCTGTTGGGGCTGGGGCTGCTACTACTGGTATAGTAAGTAGAGACCTGACGACCAAGAGGTATGATACTCATGCATGGAAAAGGCGTATTAAGCAATGGAAGGAGCTCAAGGCACAGAAATTGAGTACCTATCATAATAAACAACTATCGAGATCAGTAAGTTGATGATGTTCAGGAGTAGAACCATGAGCCTTATGTAGTACTTGTAGATATTACTAAACATATTCTTTATCCTACTCATTACTGTTACCTTATTCCTTATTATATACTTCTCCCCCCAACAACTGAAAACTCAGAGAACGGTAAGTCCGCTCCTACTACTACGACTACTGCATTCTTCTTCTTCGTCTCCTTGTTGTTGCTGTTTTAGAGTATATTATTATTGTTGTTCTTAGGTGTTAGAAGCAGTCATTGGTAACGTATCCATTTGGAACGTATCCACATGGTTGGATTTACTTATTTTTGTTGATGTCCTATTGGATGTTATGTTATTCCTAATAGCATGTATGCTTGTTAAATGGCCGAGTGCTCCTCTATTCAGTCGTCATATACAGGTAAAGAAGAAGACCTAGTAGGTATTAGACCAGTACTACTGCTGCTTTGGTATTAGGGAGTACTCAATAAGACAGCAGCAGCAGCAGCTGCAGAGGAGGAAGAGGCTGCTGCTGTTGCTGGTCGACGACACTCTATTACATTGAAGGATCATAGTCATGTTGTACATGCTGGCATTAATGTGGATAATAGTGAATGTTGTACTACTGGTGATGGCGGTGATCTGGAATCGGCTATACCTAGTGAAGGGTATGATGATGATGATGATATTGAGTCATCGATAGTCATCATCAATAGTGATAATGATGATACTGACTCCTCTACGGATACCAAAAGCCTTGAATTCGTAATAAGATTGTTGATGTTGATAATGTAATCATCATCATCATGTTAGGTATTAGAACAGAATATAACGAGTAATTGTTGCCTGATGATAGCATGTCATCTATCTACTATGACTAATGAGAGATATGCTACCTTTACTAATACACTACGATCAGCTATGAATGTATTCCCTCCTAGCCATATCTTCGTATGTGATAATGGTCCAACTCTACAACCACAAGATCAAACACAATGGGCTACTGAGGAGGTAGGGGGAAAGGGTTGAGGATATTGCTGCTGCTGCTCCTGCTCCTTGTTGGTGATAATGGTAATAGGTACATCCTGATATTAATTATTTATATACTCCTGAAGGCAATAAGACATTTGCCTTTTATTGGTGTAATAAGTATTGGATACCCTTCCTAGAGGCTAATCATAAGATACCACAATTTACGTAATACCACACTAATAGTATTATTACCTCTCGTATTATTATTATAGATATGCTGTAATAATCGATGATGATGTACCTCTACCACATGATCTTCATATACCTCAAGAACAGCTTACTAAGGATCCGACTATAAAGGCTGTACTATTACTATTGTCATTATTACTGATATCGTAGTTATAAGGTACACTTCCCTATCACAGCTGCATCCCCTAATGGTAATCCTAATATTCTCGTTAGATGTCAGGATATTGAATATAAGATGGCTGCAGTTCACAAGCTATTCCAAGCGTCTATGGCTAGGTAATAGCAATAATAAGTATTCTTGTAGGGTTTATATAATGGTAATGATGATAGATGTCTGTCGTGTCATGGTGCTATAGCATTATGGGATCGTGAGGCACTTGATGAGATATTCTATGAACATGATACTGTATTTAATGGTGAGGATATGTAATAATAATAATCCCACTCCTACTCCTCCTATCATGCTGCTGCTGTCCCTCATAGGTATATGGGACTATCTCTATTACGTAAGAGGGATAACTCCAAGATAATATCATGTGCGCAGGCTATAGTCCCAACATATGCTCCTGATGCATGGACAGTATTATTACTACAATAACCCTCCGTCCCTCACCCCTGATATCAGGTATTATTCCGACAGAGAGTGAAGTCGTGGGAGCTGACGTCACATAAGAAGACCTTCTCATATTTCTTTGAGGTCTTCCATCCCTCATCATTCTGTCATAAGGCTAGTCTAGCATTAAAGCCATACTTCCTACAAGAGCTATTAGCTGTTATACTCGATTGGCTACGAGTATTTCTATTATGTGGTTTATTACTACGTGATTGGTTAGGGCTTATATTAATGACCATTATATTCACTACTGTGTTATATATAGCAGTCGCAGTATTCCAATTAGTAGTACTCCGCGAAAGGAAGGAATTAAGATCCTCCTTATGCACGTAATACTACTATTACTACTACTCCCATACGACTACCCCTATAGATACCTCCTATTCCCATGGTATAGACTTAATGGTCTCCTATTCCGACTAGGAGCATTGTGTCAGAATCTATTGGTGTATAGTCATGAGAGGACTAATATCAAGATAGGTAGGATATACTCCTCCTCCTCCTTACTATCATCATGACCAGGTGTACGTGAGGATGAGATTAGAGATATACCCCCATGTCCAGCGCATCCTGATATAGATTGGTTTACATTATGGGATGATAATGATGATGATGATAGTCATTAATTATTATTATTATTAGCCTCATTGGCGTCGTCCTGCTCCCTAGGCGGGGATGCATAAGTCGTCCATGTTGTTGTAGATCTCAAGCTCTTCATTATTCCAGGTTCATTACTAGCAGTAAGTTATCTATTTCATTCTATTTCCAACTACCTACACCTTCTTATGTTGCAAGTCGCTACTCACGATACCAGGGATAATAGTGGACATTAACTATGCTATTAATAATCACAGTATAGATATATATTCATGCAGCGTGAATGCAACGGTTTGCCCCTTACACCTAGTCATCATAGTCATCGTATGCCGTTCCTGAGGCAGTTTCTGCATAGGGCGGTATGTTTCGCGACTTTGATGCATACTGTTGTTATGAGCAGGATAGAGAGCTACTTCTTGAATGCCGTTGGACATGTCATTCCTAGCAATGATTGCTGCTCTTGTCTATCTGGTTACCCCTACACTTGGTCATCAGGGTGGTATATCTAATGATAATATAGGGATGATAGAGATGGATGGTGACTAGCAGCAGTACTCTAGTAGTGATATCCCTCTTAGGGGTACATGCCTATTACTAACTCCTGTTAGGTCATAATACTGCTGCTTGGCGCGGTGCCGTAGTTAATCTCATGCCATAGGCAGCAGCAGCATGCATGGTGATGATGATGATAATTAATCTTTGCATATGTGATCATGAGTTGTGTTGTTATATGTAATAGATGAGGGAGGAGGTTAGTTTTACCATTATTCACATGGTTACTACTACCATAGAGGAGTTTCTAGGGAATGTAGTAGAGAGGTTAGTACCACTCCAATTGTAATGAATGTTGTATTCTATCTAATGGTAGTGTGGATGGCATCGAGTCAATAACCATAGCCGATCGTGAAGGTGTCGAGATACTATCAGGTGGTAGTGCTTGCCGTCCTCAGTACATATAATATCCTCTTCTTGCAGCTACATCATCACATTATGATGAGCAGTCAAATGATGATCAGATATTGACAACCATATTCTCCCTCACTAGTGATCAGGTTGGTGGTAGCTCTACTGTCCTATTCATCTTGTACTACCCCTCTACAGTGTAGCAAGCTACCAGAGTTTGGTGCATGCTCCTTCGTTATAGCAAGGTATGATGATGGTAAGCAGTTGCTGCAGGCGACTATGAACACTCCATTGGTCATCACCATGATGGCTAATGCTGAGAAGATAGATCGAAGTAGTGTTAGTGAGGTATGTGGATAGACAGACCCTCATCAGGTGGCCTCTTATCGGTGTTGGATGATGTAATGATTGCTTCAAAGGAGTTCAGGTTGGTATTCGACCAACAACAACAACACAGTTGAAGCTTTTTCTAACCTCTTTGGGGTTGTGTTCAACAGTACTTGCTTCTAATGGATGAGGACGCCCTGAATGGGTTCTCATATCCACCATCAGCGATGACCCTCTAAGACCCTTTAACTAGTGTCATGAACTTATCACAGGATTCGTCACTAACTAGTGTCAGTAGCTATGATTTCCCATCGTAAGTTCATCATGCCCACGGCCTTGATAACTCTCGGGTAAATACCGCATACTAGCGATGAGTTGCCCTTACTACACTGACTATTATCATCAACTAAGATGATGTGTTGTTAATTAACACCCGATATCGGCTACCAAGAGGTACTACCATAACATTGACCTATATTAGACACCTCTGAATATCCCATGCATTGTGAATGTAGACATGTGTTATCTTACTATACTTCCGATAAGAAACTCATAATCCCACTACAGAAACTTCCACCCTAGCAGAAGTGATGATAATGCAAGAATACAAGGTTGATAAAGATTATCGAGCAGCTCCAACAATAGTTAAAACAAAAAGGAATAAATTGATTATATCCATATAGAGCATCAAGGCGCCGGTTATGTATTGGTCTACCCCAAGTTGGGTTCTACGATTCTTACCACCAACAATCATCTGTGTATCAATAACAAGGTATATTGAGAAGACTAATGCCCCTATAGAGCCATAGACAATCTGCAAATATCTATTAGTTGGGAGGAATATCATAACTAGACCCATAAATACCAATACCATCAATAGGACCAATGCAAATGGACCATAACCAGTGAAATCAGTTTTGACGAAGAAAGCGAATAATGTGAGTACAAATACAGCAGCTGCAGTGGAGCCAGCAGCGATGAGTACCGCCTCAGTATCATAATATACACCGATAAAGCCGATCATAAGACCCATAGAGGCGGTGAATATGAAGAGTAGTATGTAATTGATAGGTACCTTCTGGCTGGCAGCAGGTACACATACCAATACGATAAGGGTTGCAAACATAACCGCCATACTGAGCCATAACACCCACACGTAGTCATTCACAAAGTCCATCGCCCAATCATCTTTGCCGTATACGAATGGGAAGGCTATCAATGATGTTATTACAAGTTGGGCACAGAGGATACCATACACCTGAAAGGAAATATAGTCGGGCATATAGGAACTAGTAGTTCACTCGATAGTATGATGATGATGATGATGATGATGATCAAAAGGCCTCCGGTTCGATGATACTACCTTCCTTATGAAGTTGTTACGAACGTTCTTCGAAGTATCCGGACCAAACTCAATTATTTGTACCTACATTGACATCATCATCAACACCCTTGCCGCCATCATCATTACATCAGCCGCTTGGACATAGGCTTGTTGTTGTGGTGGTGGAGGACTCTGAGAGTATCCGTAATTCTGATCGTAGTAGCCATACCTAGCAAGGATGACGTAAAGAGAGTATTTTACGATGCAACAATAGGTATTAATTATTAAGTACACAGTATCCCTCTCCTGGCATACAGTTAGATGTACTACCACAATCATCGTTATTACGTTGCCTGTTGTTGTTGTTGTTGTGGATAGTAGTACTGATTAGTAGGCTTGGATTGGTGACCTATTACTGCTCCTTGGACTATAGGAGTAGGATATGATGACATTATTATATAAGTTTAATAATACTGTACTCATCGATTCAATTGGCTCTTCAACAGGAGTAATCCGCGTCACGTCACGTCACTGGAGTGACAGTAACATCTTGCTATCTTACCATTACTCAAGTAGTCCCGTCGCCACCAAGAGATTATGAAGAGGAGCAGAATGATAGTGTGATGGAAGCCGTTTTGTCGTCGCTAAGGCTATATTCTAATCAATAAACAGGGGATATAATAAATAAAGTTACGATACATGCTATATAGTGAGAAAAGGTACTCTACATGGCGACCTAGTAGTAGTGGCTAGAGGATCTGCACACTTTATTGGGGTCTTGCAGCCACCCTCGGGAGACCTACGACGACGTTTGCTGCCACTTGAAAAGGCATATATAAACACTCTCGCGATGCGATAAGTAATTAACAATAATGGTCACAACACGTATTCGACAAATGTAACGATTTTACACACGTATAATCGATCAAATTGAACAACACTCAGTCAGCTTTCTTACAAGGCATATCTCCACTATGAGCGCTTAACCTGAACCGAACACTCTTCCCTACACTATGAAATCAGCCTTACTCATTATTATCAGCTTTGACTGGTGACTCTGTACGGGAGGTGGTAGGACTACTGCCTCCATTGCCATGTAGTACACTAGTACGTTCACGTCTATACATCCTAGTCACCCATAAGTGACGTTGAACATCATTCATCATAAGTAAGTCGATAAATGATTGTAATCTAAAGAGGGGGGTGACAGATAATAATAGAGAGTCGTAGCTTCTACTACCGGTATAGAACACCATAGCCCTCAAGAGTTTGGAATACGAACCAGAACCAACTTGATCCGAGAGTAAGGCCAAGTACTAGTCCTGCTCGAACCTGTGACCATGTATGTGCTAAGAGGAATACTCTAGAGTATCTGACATAGATCGTCCTGAGACGAGATCATGAGGATGATACTTACGCAAGGGGGAAAACAATGAGTATGACCGCCAAAACGGGCGGAATGTATCTTATCCATAGTGGTCGGGTTCGTATATGATGCTTAACAAACAAGAAACTGAAAAAGAGATGGTAGAATACCCCATCCAGGATTCGAACCGGGGACCATCAGCTTACCCATATGCAATGATAAAGCCACAAAACTGACAGTGATCACTCGGCATTCCATAACCCTTAGCAAAGGTACCTTCCGGTCTTGGCTCAGCGATGTAGTACTTTAATATGGTATTCACTATTGTTGATAATATCAACCCGACCAATAGTAGACCCCACCGAACCTGAGTAGTAACAACAATACCGCACAGGTTCAATCCTCGCATCATGCATTATTCCCCCTGCATATTACTGATTGCCGCACTAAAGTGATGGTAAAGATCGATGATATAGCAAAGATAGGTGCTAGTGATAGTAATGCTAACATCCATCCTATGACCTGATAATAAGGCGGAGCGAGGCGGCAAGTACTACTATTACTACTACTACCTTGCCGTACTCCCTAGTTGGGTAAGGTACGTAAGTTAGAGAGAATACTGCCCAATCAGGTGGTAGACAGATGACACTAGAATTGGGTGACATTAGGCATAAACACTATAACAATACACTAAGCTTATGCATTAGGTTAATACTTCAACTGTTGATAATCATTGTCATCGCTACTACTAGACATTACTACGACACTTACTAAACCGGTTCATGATCTCGAGGGCAGATTCCGAACACTTTTGAGTAACTTCTTCATGATGGCAGAATCATTCCATCACATCATGAACAGATGACCAAAAGGTATGAACAATCAGATTGTTCATACAGAATTATCCTTATGAAGTGGTATGGTACCAACCTCTCTAGGGATGATGATGTTAATTGAAATTGGCATACTACTACTTTCATTTCCCATCATGAACACCACCACAGGATCATCAACGTATCCACACTTCTTCCCCTACCAGTTGTTTTACGTCTTTCCCATCATAATGAACCCCGACCAGCAGCAGCAGAGCCAGAGAGGCAACTATCCTCAAATCCCCGTACAAACCCCGGACCTCTTCTACCATCATCTCAAGCAAGAAAGATCCCTTGATAAGCTCTTCATGACATACATCCCGAAAGGATGATGTCCTCCTTGGGTTGATTCCAAGCTTATTATAAGACCCAAACCTACTCTAATAAGACCACTCTCTTGTATTCCACCACCACCACCTTTGATGTCATTCCCGGACCCAGCACCCGAGAACAGCAGCCTTCATATATGAACTCAACAACAACATGCTCATTGACTGATGATGATGGTCTCTTCGCTGTGCGATGATGAAATCTTATGTAACCAATTAGTAGCACTGGAATCAAAAATGAAGAGGAACACTTCCAAAATAAAGTATCGCCAACTAGGAGAGGCAATAATTTCATGGCGAGTGACGGTTCAGAGCGGAATCCCCTCCTCTTCCTTCCACTTAGGCATCCCTAGTACTATACTCCAGTAGCAGCGAATGGATACCAGAGGCTACTACCAAACCCTATTGATTGGACATAGTTAAGGAGTAATCGGAAATGACACATATCCATACCCATCCGTGCATACCACACCTCCACCACATTACATAGCTATCCTCGTCGGTAGCTTCTAAAGTTCCAATCCTGCCTTAGACACTCTAGGCTTCTGCTCTCTAAAGAAGTTCTACAGAGTCGATAGAGAGATACTGAGATGAGTTGTTATCGAGAACATATACTCTAACGTTAGACCGATATCCAACAGTACCGCTACCGGGGCTCGAACCCGGGACCTACCTTGATTAGGTCATCATAGGCCGTGATGATAGTATTAATACTTCCCGCCAATCCCAGCCCTCCTGCCTACTCTCATCTATGCCCCAACCAACAGCCATAATACCATCCCGAACCATTTCAAGAAGGAGTGGTATGAAACTATCAGCCTTAACAGAAGCCTATGTCATATTCCTATGTGCTATGATAGATCAGCAACGCCTCTTATAAGAGCATTAGATATAACGCCTCTTGTAACGTTACAAATAATCCACTTAAGACATCCCTCCTTGCTCTCCTTGAACCTCACCACAGGGGGCAGGGACATCCTTCATCAGTAACTAGTACCATAACTGGTGACAATATCAATAGCTACATGAACTTTACGCCCTAGAACGCATCTATTTCATTATTACATTCCAAGATCAGCTTCCTCCCGAGCAAAGGCAGGTAGAAAGTCCGACTCCTCAGTGTATCGTACTGCTCCGAAAGCAAAAGGTGTCTCCCTCGGGCTTCACTCTTCATTGAAAGACTCTTGCCGCATTAGTAACGTCATTCCTAGTCACAGCAACTACTTGATCACAGGCCTCACGACATAATACGCCAGTAGCTCAACAGGCTACAACGGCAACGCTAGAATTCAAAGACACTCAAAATAATACACAATCGATTTTTCTAGAAATTTTTGTTACAGAAGTGCAATCCATATAAGTAATATGACATAACGAAGACGTCGCCTGCAGCGTGGGCTGCATGACGCTGCGCACATCGGACCTGCGAAGTTCTTGCGAACGAACCTTACCTTCCGAAAATAGATGCCGTGAACACTAGAGCGGCCGGAGACGCCATTTCATCCTAATTCTCCGATCCATACAAATTGTATGATACAACGAATTGATGACAGGAGGCAGGGGCTGCTCTGACCTCTGATATCGGTGTTGTAGTAGTAGCACCTATTATTCAAATAATCAACAATGTAATAATAATCTGTCACGAATATTATATAGAGATTCAATTTTGCACTCAAAACGACAGACAAGAATTACCCTACCCGGGGATCGAACCCGGAATCTCCACCTTAGGAGGGTGGCGCCTTATCCATTGGGCCAGCAGGGCGATTAGGATTTGTGTTGCGAAGGGAGATGTACATAGCGGATCTCAAGCTTTCCAACCCATTCTTTAGCCATAATACGTAATGGTTTCTCAGCTGTTGTGATGCTTTGTGTCGCATCCCATCATAGACTCTAGTATCCCGATCTTTCTCGTTCGTAGTCTTATAATGCAATAATAATCGCTAAACCTGCCGTCGACGGTTGCAAGCTATGGCCTAGCCTAAGTGGGACTCGTCCCCTAGAGGGAGTGAGGTAGACATCAACAATCCTTATTACTCAGCGTGAATGATATTCAAAACGATTAGATGACTGAAGAGCCCTTAGACCGCACCAATAATTCCAATGTGAAACATGAACACCTTCTATCTCGAGAGGAACACCTTGATTTCTGCGAGCTATCACCTCCCAGCTAGCGCTAGTTTATCAAGGATTCCTGTGACATTTTTTACTGTTTGGGTCTGCGTGAGAATGATCATTCCCCTTCGGGTACGTGTGAATTGAATAGGTATTCGTGTGGTACTATTATCATCAGTTATTGCATTGTTTATTGCCAGTTCCATGGCCATTTCTTACACACAACAAAGGACGAATGTCCCTGCATCAGTAGCGCAGCTATCGTCATCCCTCGGCCGCTCTAATGAGCCGGCGTATGTGGAAGGCATGGTACCACCATCCTCTGATCTACTTGTTCGATTATGGTCTGTGATCCAACGCTTGGAAGATGAGGTTGATGTTGAGCGTGAGAGGAATCGTACTCTTACTACTCAAGTGGACAGTCTAACAGATCATCTTGCTACCTCCAACACTTTGCTTGCCACTCTTAGTGGTATGTCTACTACCTCAGGTCTGGCTGGTGCTCCCCCTACAGCGTTTCCTTCGACTGTTGATTCTAACGTCCCCGTTGTAGCACTATCTGGGGAGGCTTCTTCGACTGATAGCTGGAAGCAGCGACAACATCTACTATCGTCTCCTCCTTCTACGGCTATCGGGACTACTTTCCCTGACCATGGTGTGCCCTTATGGCATGTATTGAGATCACTGAGTAACATTGATGAGAAGAGAGTCTTCACTGTGCGTAAGATTCAAAAGCTGGGCTTCGAGTCCCCTCCTAAGCTGAGAGAGTATTTCTCATTATGGGGACGGGTAACTAACATAATGGTATTGCATCGACAAGCTCGAACGACCTCCTCTTCTTCTAGTGGTGATATGAGTAACGACAAGAACGTCCGAGTGAGGCCACCGAGTGTCGGCTTTGTGGTGATGGAGGATCCAGAGGTTGTCACTAGAATCCTAGCTACTCCCCAGCATACTATATGTGGTCATTCCTGCGAGGTGCAGGTCTTTGAAAGGAAACATAGACATGCTACCAATTGTGAATCGTTATTGTCGGAGACTAGTTCGGTGTCCTCCCCAGCCAGGTTCCTTGGTACGAACATGAACGTCATCAAGGGGGAGGAACTGCCCGATCTGAGGAGTGGTTCTATGAGGATGGTAGGGAAGGAGTATAAGAAGGAACACTCGTATGCCTCTGGCGCTGCTAGTGGGGCTTATGATACAGGTTATGATACCACACGTTCGCTACTTCCTACTACTATTACCAGTAGATGTTTTACAACATGCTCTCTAGATCCCGTACCCAGTAGCAATAAATTCTTATCGTGATTATGGTATTGCTTGTTAAGCTCGAAAGATGATGTTTTATACATCTAACACTAATGAATGATGCATTTCTATTACCTTTATAGTACAGGTTGCGACACTACTCTGAGGGTTCTTATTGTACCCCGTGGAATATAGGGTTTCAAGATCATCAGTAGTAATAACAACCATAGTAATTTTCTATTATCAGTACTACTACTACTACTACTACTATGTCATAAACCGTTCTTGATGGTATATCCCGTGGTTGTTGTTCCCGTTTATATTACTATTACGATGATAGTACTAGTATTATCATATTAATAGTTGCAGCGCCGTTCATGTTGGTGTGATGGTGATAGTTGTTAAGCTGTTTTTAGGCTTATCAGGACTTCCTGTTCCATAGTTCTATCATATCCATTCGTGCTCCCCGTTATCTGCACTCACACCACGACCTGTTGTGATTTTATTATACTTTTTATTCCTTGGGATGAGGTCCATAACAACAATACGCTCAATGATATCGCTAGTTGTAATGGCGTTGTTGACTTGTATAGTAGTGGTAGTAGCAGTACTAGAACACTGTTGCTCTCCACCATTACGGCAGCAGCCCCATACCACTGCTCGAGTTTCTCGATAATTGCTATATTCTTGTGTTGTGACAGCGAACATTGATTGCTATATTCATATATACCATCGTGCTAACGTGATTGTAGGATTCTCAAGGCACATATTGAGGAGAAGTGAGGTGCTAACAGAGGAGCTACCATGCCAATGCTTAGTAGCTCCATGACGTATCATGAATCCCACTAGGGCGTGTGGTAATCAACACTTTGCTGCTGTTGATGATGGGCCCAATTTGCTTGACAATAGATATGCTATAGTTGGTATGTATCCGGCGAGGAGTTGCCAATGTACACCTGGTCTGCAGGCTCACGGAGCCACGTATTCGTTCTGGACGAGTAGTATAATGAGAAGCATTCTAGGCTGGATGCCACCCGTCCTTGGAAGCGGGAAGTTTGAATCATAATACTGATACGGTAACACAGCTTACGCCTTGAAGTGTGCACCATTGAGGGAGACTGATTCCTTTTGCAGTTCACCTGTCTCATCATCTACAACTACATTCAGCGTCATTCACAAGGCACTAGTTTTCAGCTTCACCGTGTTCTCACAACTGTACTCCGGAACAGCTTGACGCGGCATAACATCCCAGGTGCCAGGTCTTGAAGTTTTATCACCAGAAGTGGCGTCGAAAAGTTGAAGGTCATCTGACTGTGATCTCTCATGATCTACATAATCGGAAACTGGTTAATTCGATGAAGAATCTTCGCTGTGCGTAATGTCGCAGGTGATCATATTATTCTGATTTCGCAGTCGCTATCGTCTAGTGGTTAGGACGTCACGTTGTGGCCGTGACAACCCCGGTTCAAATCCGGGTAGTGACTTCTTAATTGTCAATACGCGAGTGACGTCATATTCAAAGACGGTGTTACTCATCACCCTATGCCCTCATCATCGAGGCATCCGTGAAGTAAGCACTCGTTTGCGCCCCACAGAAATGATTCCAGACATTTGACTGTACGTACATTGACATTTAGAATATCGCTCGCCATAAATTGATCGGTGGATGAAACGGCTGGGCAGCTTGGTGCCCTACTTAACTGTAGTGATTCTCGTCCTTCACTTAGAACTTAACACACAGCGAGACGTACATTGTAACAATGCGTGAGATCATCTGCATTAACGTCGGGCAAGGTGGTATTCAAGTCGGTAACGCCTGTTGGGAGCTCTTCTGCCTGGAGCATGGTATCGGCCCTGATGGCACTATGGCTACAGACAAGTCCTTCAACGGTGATGATGCTTCTAGTACTTTCTTCTCCGAGACTGGTGCCGGTAAGTTTGTTCCAAGGTGTGTCTTCATCGACTTGGAGCCCAACGTTGTCGATGAGATTCGTACCGGTACCTATCGTCAGCTCTTCCACCCTGAGCAGCTAATCACCGGTAAGGAGGATGCGGCCAATAACTTTGCTCGAGGGCATTATACTATTGGTAAAGAGATAGTCGATCTATGCTTGGATCGCATTCGCAAGTTGGCTGATAACTGCACTGGTCTGCAAGGCTTCTTGGTATTCAATGCTTGTGGGGGTGGCACTGGCTCTGGTTTGGGTTGCCTCATTCTTGAACGATTAAGTGTCGACTATGGTAAGAAATCAAAGTTGTCATTCACCATCTGGCCCTGCCCTCAAGTATCTACTGCCGTTGTTGAACCGTATAACACAGTTCTTTGTGTCCACTCTCTGCTCGAACACACTGATGTGACCTGCCAGATGGATAATGAAGCTCTGTATGATATATGTCGTCGCAATCTTGACATTGAGAGGCCGACCTACACTAACCTCAATAGACTCATTGCTCAGTGTATAAGTTCTCTGACGGCGTCCCTTCGTTTCGATGGGGCTCTCAATGTCGACGTTACAGAGTTCCAGACCAACTTGGTACCTTACCCCCGAATCCACTTCATGCTGAGCTCCTATGCTCCTATTGTCTCTGCTGAGAAGGCTTACCATGAGCAACTGTCGGTCGCTGAGATCACCAACTCAGTCTTTGAGCCGTCTTCAATGATGGTAAAATGTGATCCTCGTCACGGCAAGTACATGGCCTGCTGTTTGATGTATCGTGGCGATGTCGTTCCGAAGGATGTCAATGCTGCTGTTGCCACTATTAAGACTAAAAGAACGATCCAATTCGTTGATTGGTCACCGACAGGTTTCAAGTGCGGTATCAACTATCAGCCTCCTACGGCGGTTCCTGGTGGGGATCTGGCCAAGGTTATGCGTGCGGTTTGTATGATATCTAATTCAACTGCCGTTGCGGAGGTCTTCTCTCGAATTGACCATAAGTTCGATTTGATGTACGCCAAGCGTGCCTTCGTGCACTGGTATGTGGGCGAGGGCATGGAGGAAGGGGAATTCTCGGAGGCTAGAGAGGACTTGGCTGCTCTTGAGAAGGATTATGAAGAAGTCGGTATCGAGACGGCCGAAGATGATTATTATGATGAGGAGGGAGGATATGGGGATGAATTCTAAATGTTAATCTTTGCATGCTTAATAACTCATTGAAAAGCTTCCAGCTTCTTGATCATCCACATTACCTTCGTTTGTTCAATTCATAGTTATCGGAAGGGCTCATTTTTCTGTGGTTAGCGAAGTTTTCGATATGCGGGAGTTACGTCCGGGCTGGTCAGTGCGACTATTGGATCGATGCCAAGTTGTATGGGGTTATTTCTCTCGAGCATGGTGGCATCGGCTCTTCTGAGTCGGGGGTAGGATAGATATCCGAAGTATTGACACGTACCATGGTCATTGTGACTCGCAGCTTGAGCCCATCGATGTGTATTAAAAAGGAGGCAACCGACGGAACGTTATGTGTCGTCTTTTTGGACATCGTCACCGCCACTTGCGGCTCGTATCGAGCTCATCTTCTATTATCAAGGAAATCCTGAGGTCCTCAAGATGGTTGTGACATTCTTCGGTAATGTACTGTATTGCAGGAGATGCTCAAACGTGTCGCTGAGCCTCCACTGCAGATTTCCGGCGTGAGGCGTTCCTTCAGTAACCGCGAATAAGGGCATGGGAGAGATGGAGTTCATTGAGACCGGGTTGAAGGTGAACGATTTAGTTTCCGAATATCAGCAATATCAAAACGTTACTATCATCGGTCGGTATTTCGATATCGCTATCGTAGCAATTGATCACTTACTAAATGTTTGTGACTCGTTCGACGATGATTATATCGGTGAAAGTATTATTTTATGTCGAGTTGTTTAGTGGGAGTAGACGATAGCCTCTCATCGGCTCAGCGGATGTCACAAGATTAACCCACATTGCTGATCCTGATAAGGATCGCTGATCCTGATAAGGATCGCTGATCCTGATAAGGATCGTATCGTGTTTACTATCCGAAAGGACCGAGATTCAATGCCATCTCACTTATCTTGATCGTGAACCAGCGGCCATCCTCCCACCGCTACCTGCTCATACCTGACGCTCTACTTCGAGCCAACTCGACCGTTACCAGCATCCCTGTAAACCAGTGAGTTGCTGTCCAAATGTCTGGACTCCCTAAAATCCTCAAAGCCATATATCGCTCTCTCGGAAGTAGTCCCCAGTATACTCACGATATCCGATGCAGATATGCTCACCAAGGGCATGGTAGGTCCATATCTTGATCCCGCTTTTGCCAGCCTCACGTTTGGGCATGGTCGTTCTCAAAGTGCGCTCAGAAATCGATCATCTGTGTAAATCTTGCTCGCCCATAGCTTTTGGTGGAAACTCTTGATGTATCCGATAAACACCCAAGCCTTTACAAGCTCCTCCTAGTTGGACTCACACTATGGCTGGTGAAAAGACCCACATGTCGATTGTGATCTGTGGTCACGTCGATTCTGGCAAGTCTACGACTACTGGTCGCCTTCTGTTCGAGCTTGGTGGTGTTTCCGAGAGAGAGATCGAGAAACTGAAGCAAGAGGCTGACCGCCTCGGCAAGTCTTCATTCGCCTTCGCTTTCTACATGGACCGCCAGAAGGAGGAACGTGAAAGAGGTGTCACTATTGCCTGCACTACTAAGGAGTTCTTTACTGATTCGTGGCACTACACTGTTATTGATGCTCCTGGTCATAGAGATTTTATCAAGAACATGATTACCGGTGCCTCCCAGGCCGATGTGGCTCTCCTCATGGTCCCTGCTGATGGTAACTTTGGTACCTCTATCGCCAAGGGCAACCACAAGGCTGGTGAAATCCAAGGTCAAACTCGTCAGCATGCTCGTCTGATCAACTTGCTCGGTGTTAAGCAACTCGTGGTGGGTGTCAACAAGATGGACTCTGACGTTGCCGGATACAAACAGGCCCGTTACGAGGAGATCCGCGATGAGATGAAGAACATGCTTGGCCGTGTTGGTTGGAAGAAGGACTTCATTGAGAAGTGTGTCCCAGTGATTCCAATCTCTGGATGGGTTGGTGACAACTTGATCAAGAAGTCCACTAAGATGGACTGGTGGAAGGGTGTTGATGTTGTACGTGAGCCTGCCTCCAAGGATGTTATCCACATCGATACTTTGTACGATGCTCTAGAGAAATTCGCCACTGTTCCTAAACGTGTCACTGATGCTCCTATGAGAATGCCCGTGTCTGGTATCTACAAGATCAAGGGTGTTGGTGATGTGATCACTGGACGCATTGAGCAAGGGATTGTCAAGCCCAACGAGGATGTTATCTTCTTGCCCACTCACACGCCTGCCACTCCCTGCTCTGGCAAGGTCTTCACCATCGAGATGCATCATAAGCGTCACGAGCAAGCTCTCCCCGGTGATAATGTTGGTCTCAACGTCAAGGGTCTGATCAAGGATAACATGCCACGTGTTGGTGACGTTATGATCTATAAGAAGGATACCACCTTGAAGCACGTCCAGTCTTTTACCGCTCAGATTCAGGTCTTGGACATCCCTGGTGAAATCAAGGTTGGCTATTCTCCCATTGCTTTCGTCCGTACTGGTCGTTCCGCTTGCAAGCTCGCTAAGATCAATTGGAAAGTCGGTAAAGAGACTGGTGGTAAGAAAATGGAAGAACCCCACTCCCTCAAGTCCAATGAGATGGCTGAAGTTGTTTTTGAGCCCATTCAGCCTCTTGTGGTGGATTCCTATAAGAACTGTGAAGGTCTCTCTCGTGTTGCTCTGATGGAGGGTAACGGAGTTGCTATGCTTGGTAAATGTACCTCAACGGTCTCTAAGACGGTGAAGTAGATGTCGGTTGATGTAGAAACTATTTGGTCTTTCTGGCCGATGAGTTTTTTGAATCCCGGATTTGATGAGGATATCGTATTGGTTTCCAGTTGCCTTTTGTCGGGTTCTGGTAGTCTTGAGTACCAGTACCGGTAGTATCTGAGTATTGATATGATGACATCGGCATTTCAGAGGTGACGTGTTGTTGCGGTTGAACCCCCGCAAGCCTCGTCATCACTATGAAGCTATTGCCGCAAACGTCTGATCAGTATATGGGATGAGATGATGATTACGAGCGCGCGTGACCTGAGCCTCTCCAAAGAGATGGCGTGAAGACTGCTCTCTATAACTGATCATTTTAATAAGCTAACCGATGACGACATCAGATATTGTTGTTCATTGAAAATTGTGGGTGAAATTAACTTTGAAGGAACAATCGATATGATGATTACGAGCGCGCGTGAACCAACAGCTACCAGCTGTTTGAAGAATGCTCTCTTGAGACTGATCGAACAACTCTCACATTATTGACATCATGTCACAGACAGCTTTCGGGCTGTTCTCGCTTGTCCATCTGGTTTTGGTAGGGGCACAAGGTGCAACATTTCCATCTGTCATTGCTATTGAGGTACTGTTTATGCTAACTCCTGATCACCTCTCTTAAAACTCACCATATATGCACCACGAACTGGATGATCTGTTTTCTGTGGGCAGCAACGGGTAATGCGGTATTGTTGATTCCCGTATTGTAAATTCCATCGTGTGACGATGAAAAAAGACATTCGGATACAATAAAAGAAGTTCCGCTCGAATCATCTATTGAAGGGCCACAGTCTAGTAACACAAGTTACGATTTGCGACCTTACTACATACAGAGTTGAGAATCGGGGTAAGATTGGAACTGGAAGCGGAAGTGTAGAAGACTTATTCTTTCACTCCGGTGCACACTGGGTGTCTTATCGAACAACAGGTGACGAAGTAATCTTCTCGACACTCAATCACTCGTTGGCGACGTCATCAGATCTTCGTTCCCAGGAGACAGGAACTTGAGAAATTGTTGCCGGTTTGCGGCTAATTATTAGCCGCTCCAGAAATGAGCATTTGGAGAGTGAGATCATACTAACCACTCATATGATGTCGCTCTCCAAATGCTCAATTCTACAGTAATTTCGGCTCAGATAATTCGCGAGTCGACACCGAAAAAGAACGTTCCTATTTGTAGCTCGTACTACGAGCCTCATAGGTACACGGTCCATACCAGACATAACATCGCGGCAATAGACTCCATTAACCATTGATCCACTAGTAGAGGACAACCCACTGACAGTGGGCCACTGTGCGTTAGAAGCCATCGATGCGCGCCGAAACACACAAACACTATTAGTCGTGCATTTCCATACGTGGTTGAAAAACACGAACCGTGGTTTTGGACCACCAAATCGCTCTCAAGCCATGCTCGTCCACCACACTGCGTATCGGTCCGCTATCTTGAGTTAGGATCCACTCCTATTATGGTACGAGCTCACATTGTCGGGCTATTCCCTTTCTCGTCGTGTCATTCCTCAGGTTAATGATTGTCGACACTCATCGTTCTTCTGCTTCAGCTAGATCGCTAGCTCGCATAACATCCTACTATCCTCGCCAATCTTCAGATAAGCCCGGAATCCCTATAATATGTACTCGAGATGGCTCAGATCTACCATGCGGATTCATCGTTCCCCGCCGGCAGCGCGGCTGCCCGCATCCCCGGTCAATGGTACGAACCCTAGTGCTCGCTTCACCTGGCGCCCAGCATACGTACCGTTTTCGTCCTGCTCGCGATTACTATCTATTTGTGACAAGAGTTTTATCAGTCACTAACTCAAGGCTGAATGGAGTTGAACTGTTGAAGTCGAAAAAAAAGCAGATTATGTCGTTGTGGTTATTGGCGGCAATAGTTCGAACGGGACGGTCCTGAGGACCCGATCCTCTCCTTTCACTACTGGACACCCATACGTCAATGTGAATGATAAAAAGCTGGACTACTCGGTTGGAAAGACTCACGAAGATGTTGAATGGACCAATTGTTGTAACTCATCCTTGGGCGCGACACTTCTGCGAGGCGAGTCGGTACTCCGAAACACATCGTGTGAGTCCGAGCATATCCCAAGTTTCGCTACCGTAAAAGCACATAACCCAGTCGAAGGAGTCGAGCATGATATGAGTGCCACCCGCTTCGAAAAAATGGGCGAATGGATACTTGTATGATTCGATGTAATCGATCGCCCCAGTGAGCTGATTGTAAGCATACAAAATACCACCTTTAGGATCATCAGAACGGTTACTGTAATAAGCACACATCGATGTTTGACTGCAGCTAGGCGGATCATGGCAGTTACCTACGGCCATGTAAGTGATATTGGCCTTATAATTGGAATAGTTATCCTTAGTACAGTTGGGACAAGACGCGAGGAAGAAGACCATAATAGAGTGATCCAGATATGAGTCGTAGTTCCCGATGCCTCTAACAGTAACATGATCCGCCCTGTACATGACTTCGTCCACCAATTGAGCATCATGGTTGTTGAAGTTTATCATCACATCAATCGCTAGGTTAAAAGGGTGCATCCATGAGTCGGCCTTCAGGGTATCGGCAGCATCGAAAATCTTATTCCAGGTATTATGATCATGAAGCTCAACATTGAAACTGATACCGAGCCGGCCCATCTCGGGCAGTCCGTAGTTGTAGATGAACTCTTTGAAGACACGAACGAAAGCAGGAGCCCACTTTTCATCATCACCGTTGCCACCAGAGTAGAACAGATACAACCTCGCAGAGTTATCGCTAAGCATACGGAAGTTGACAATGAACTTGGCTAAAAGGTCAGGACGGAAGATTTCTCCTTCGTGGGAGGCATCGGTCACATTAAGATACACATCACCGCGATTGTACTTCCTCGCTCCATCAGTCCGAAAGAATCTGATGAAGGTATCCTCCGGGTCTGCCCAGATGTGCTGTCGCTCTACATATGTACCCATAGGCCGATAAGACATCGAATCAACCCTCACGTTATTTTGGACCGCTATACTGATGCATGTGGTCAGGGCGACGATAACAAGGGTGTAGCCCATTGGATCTCTCGATTCACTGAACTTGAATACTCCCGAGAAGTGAGATGCACCACAGATTGGGTCTACTCTTAGAGTGACCCTTCGTGAGTACGCGAGTACGTGATCGCGTGAGTACGTGAGCGCATGAGTGCGTGCGGGCGTGACGAATTACTTAGCGATAACTATGCCATAGTGACTATGGCCTCAGGAGAGGAGAAAACTATAAATATATTTATCCGCATTGAGGAATACACAGAACAATACAAAACATAGACCATATTCGTCGGTAAAGCGAATCCCGAGTAATAATGGTGCCCCAATGGCGCTGCGGCGGGGCGTCGCCCTCGCGCCACGTACTTCAGAATAAGCTTGAGGAAGACTATCGCTCGCATTGGGCGACGTCTCCGCAGGACCAAGTCCTTCATCATGGCTTCTGTGGGTTTCAGAGGGTTACATGGTCATTCAGCGTCAAGTGAGTGGTTATACCTTTTATCTTCTCTTCTTATTTGCTTGCAGTACCTCGTCAGTGACGTGAACGTGTTTAATGAGAGATTGGTGAAGGATCACATGTGTTCAGACGCGAAAAGGGCCCAACGTACTGCTCGAAGATGAGTTTCGAGAGTACGATGCAGACGTAACCTCGAGGTTCATATCCGTCTGAGACTAGTCAAGAGCAGGAGTAGCTAGTAGGGCCGCTTATTCGCACGCAACGGCAAGGGAGTTATCATAGGCTCTTGGGAGTGATAGCAATACCTGAGTGGGGTGGCATCTATGCTTGTCCTCACGAGAGGATGATAGCCTTTTATTGATGGATGGAATTGACAGGCTAGACTTCAATGTGACGACACTGAATGTGTCACTAAGAGCAGTCTGAGGGTGTGGGATCTTTCAATGACAAGAACCCTTCGGGTGAGGTCAAGACAGTTGTATCCGGAGAAGAATTCGGGGAGTTGGAAATGGAATGGTATCACTTGTAAACCTGAAGCACCTACCGCCAGCTCTCGGCGATGATTGGTCTGTTGGTCAATGCCCTAGTGTGTTTAGGATTGGAGTCTACATGTGCTCATAAGTGTCTTGCTTCTTCCTTCTCGCTTTCCACTGTAAGCTCACTGGCTATCTGGTATTCAGCTAGTCAGAGAGCTAGCCGTACCGAATTGTCAATTCAGAAGGGATATTCCTAATTCTTCAGCTTTGCCCTACAGATGAACAAAGTTCCATAGACTCTGCCGCCGCGCGTTCCATGATCCACGGAGTTGCGATTATAGGCTACGATTCGTAGCGCCGCTCGAAATTCAAATCGATATTCCTTGAGTTTCAATGGCTAGAAATTCCAGTCTGCAACAAGGTGTGAACGAAGAGATGGGCAGAGGTGGACAGGAGTGTCCCCGCCGCCCACTGCCTAAAACCAGATTGCCCACTCTTCTCTAGCGTATCGCTCCCTCCACCCTCAACTTCAGATCGCAGTTTAATTATATAAAGATCGTCTATTTTCCCACTCCAGCAAAAAATATATATATCACTGATGATATACCGAGTCAGAATATTGCTTGAATAATAGCTTCACTAGCTTGAATCGTGCGGTGCATCTCATCATTCAGCTATTGTGGAGCTCATTTAGATTATGTGTCATCCTTTGTTGGCGTTCAGCTCGTTCAAATGCTGCTTCTGCTATGCGGATATCGACTCGTGGAGTGTTATATTTCAGACCTTGGGGCTGAGTCACATGATATTTTGTTGTTCAGAATCAAAATCAGTGCCAAAGTCACGAGCCCAGGCAAGCAAATAAGCACACTTAGTGAGGGTGATAGCAGCTTCGAAAAGGCCCACTAGAAACCTGGTTAGTGATGGTTTTTGGGTTTCAGTCATCCCAACGGCTCTCCCATTCTGGGCCATTACGATGAAAGGAGTACCGTGAGGAAAATCTATTAATCAGTCAGCGATATCGAAAGGTTAATGGATTGCTGTGGTCGACCTGCCCTCGACATGTGACATTGAAGTCGCTATCGTCTAGTGGTTAGGACGTCACGTTGTGGCCGTGACAACCCCGGTTCAAATCCGGGTAGTGACTTTTCAGCCCAGCAGGTGAGCCTCTTCGCAATCAATGAGCTTAGGTTCTTAACATGTAACAACGCTTACGTTTATTGATCAACGAATAAAATCGACAACTCTCATCGTTATGCCTGTCAAACATTAGCTAATAGCTGACTCTTCTTTTTCCAGTTCCATGAAAGCCGTGATGATAACGCTTGGGTACTCCTCGAATAAGAAAGTCTACGAATGGGGGTTTCATTATGGGACCCTTCCTGAGAGAATCTAGAGAGTGTGACTCATACTCCCACTAATGGTTCATTCCCGTAGCATCTGGACGAGCAGCACAAAGCAGCACGTCAGTTCGCGCCGCTGCGTCAAATGAACTTACTATCCAATATTTCTATGTCAAACTGTTCTCGAATGACACATCCAATCCTACAGACGTGCATCCCCGATTCATAGTCGTTGATCGCGCGCTAAACATTCACCAACAGACAGAGTTGCATGACAAGAGGATAGTAAATCCGTGGACGCTTTGGACACCTCGGGGATTGTGATGAATACCGCACAGATCGGGGAACGGGAAACGATCAAGTGTTATGCGGGGGCGAGAGAAAATCGCCGCTTCTAACGCTCGAAGGTTCAATTCCGAACCGAACCCTGCTATGCACGACTGGCACATTATGAGGATTTCCATAATCACTTTGGTCTATCTGCACGCCACGCTAAAGGAAAGGATCGCCTTGGCCACTCTGGGTAAAGCAAACCTCACTTTCGCGCAAGCCGAGGCCGGATCGCAGTACATGGGGAAGCTGATAGAAAAGCCGGCTTGCGTGGCGACGAGTCCCGATCTCCCATCAGGACGCGTGAGGATCTCCCACAGGATAGTGTAGTGGTGGAGGATTCCTCTCAGAACGTTACGGGTTATGTGGCATACAGGATCTTCGAGAGTAGCGGAGTCGTGTAAGTTGATTGGGAGCAAACTTCTCAACAAAGGGAGTCTCCAGGTATTCCGGTTATGATGAAGAAGCATTTGAAGTCCTAGATAACGAGGCCCAGATAGATGACTTTCGTATGATTCCGTCATTGCGAAGCCAATTACCAGCTTTACTTGAACTTTGTCGTGAACATGTAAGCATCTTTTTTCTATTTGTATTTGAAATTGACACTTATAGATCCTCGCAAGTGATAAGAAGATTGGAAGGATTCGCATCTTTGCTTCAGCCGAGGAAGAAGAGGTTATCAAAGACGCTGGATTCGAGTTCGTTACGAGTAGGTTTTGTCTTCTAGGGCTTCCTAATAATTCCCTCGAACTGCTTAGGAAATCGTGCACTAGAAAATGCCGTGTACCAGTACGTTCGTGCTCCTCATCGTGAACCTGACCATTATCATGAGGCCAGGCCAAAGAAACCACGCGGATTCCTGAAGAAGCTGTCAACAGGGTTTTCGGGGTCGAAGGGGAAATGACCTTCTCTCGCCAATGACGAGAGAAGGGTAAATGACACACCTTTAGATGATGACTCGATAATCACATGGATGAGGGCTGTTTGGTGTTACCTTTTTCTAATGGTTGCGTGAGTACAAGTCAGTGAATCTCATTTAGTTTTCTGTATAAATTTCGTGCGGAATTGAATACTGAGGATAACAGCTGTCGTTCCCTCCCCCACAATGAGAAGATTCTCATGGGAAAAAAGGGAACATGTTCGTTCCAGTGGCCCCGGAAGTGGCTTGAAATAGATGGAGGGAATTGACAAAAAAAGGACTATGAACCAAGGTGAATCAAGTATCGTTCAATGAATGATATACACTTGTCACGATTCACTGAGAAATATTCGAGACACGAAGCTGGGTTTGAGAGCGTTATCATGGCGATCCGTATAACCGTTCGGGTAGTCCAATAAACCGATCACGAGCTTGACCATTTATTTCTGAGTTGTCAAAACGTGAAACTCCGTGCTAATTCACTCCGGCAAAGACCGATTCCAGGATCTAATTGCCTCGATTAGCTCATCAAAGGCTCTTTGTTGTTGCTACCTCTTCCTCGCGTCGTTAATGTTCGGTTCCTCTCGTACAGACTTAGAAGCCAGTAATGCTCAACACTCAAGAACAGTAGTGCAGAATGTATCCTATCTTCGCACTAACGTACGCAAGCACGAGAGATATATCTGCACGCATGT